TGAACAAGCTTTTGCAATGGCACCAGTCTGTCTTCGGCTCAACCAAACCGGACATCACTCAGACTCGTGCTTAATTGCAGGTTCTGTGGAATAAAAAAATGCACTGACACTTCCCTATCCTCATTTAAAACCTTAATGTCTCAACTTGATGGGCTGCTATCTAATGAGGAATCTTATTGGTGACAACGGGCTAAGGTCTCTTGGCTGAAAGAGGGAAATCGAAATACGAGATTTTTCCATCAAAGAGCCAACAGTCGAAAACAAAGAAAAAAAATCCAGGGTTTGTATGATAGCAGTGGTGTATGGTAGGATGAGGAACATGATATCCAAACTGCATTGGTGAATTATTTTAGTCAATTTTTTAATGCCAACCCCAATAGTGATACTGACGCCATTATTGATGAGGTGGAGCCGTGTGTTACTACTCAGATGAACGACTCACTTCTTGAAATTTTTACTGAAGTGGAGGTTAAACAAGTAGTGTTCCAAATGTACCCAACCAAAGCTCATGGGTCGGATGGAATGTCCCCTCAGTTTTTTTTAAAAGAAATTGTGGCAAATTATTGGGGGAGATGTATCACATGCTATAATTAATTTTCTCTCCACTAGTCACCTGATTCGACAAATTAATTTTACACATGTCGTGGTAATTCCCAAAGTGAAAACCCCAGAGATATGACCCAAATGCTCCCCATCAATTTGTATAATGTGTTGTTTAAAATTGCTTTGAAAGTGCTCGTGAATGGACTAAAATCGTTCCTCCCTATAGTTATATCACCCCACTAAAGTGCTTTCGTTTCTAATCGTTGAATATACGAAAATTATGTTATGGTTCCTGAGATTGTAAATTGCTTGCGACATCGACTCAGAGATAAGAAGGGATATGTGGCACATATTGGACATACCTAAGATAGAATCGAATGGGCTTTTCTTGAAAAAATGATGTGATGTAGTGTAGCCCGTAGGCATTAAATTAATCACTTAACAATCAAATAGAGAAGAATATAAGAGATCGAGGAGAAGAAATATAGGTCGAAAAGACGAGACAAAAGGTAGAAACAGTAGAACAATATATCGAAGGGACAAAATTAGAGAGTTCTAGGAAAAGGTTTACTCAACATTCAAATCTGCATTTTAAAGAACTACACGAGGTTATTTATAGCAAACTAAAACCTAGACATAATAGGATAAAAATTCCTCGCTTAAATAGAAATCTTAACCCAAATAAAATAGGAAACTTAAAACTAGAAAATGGAAATCTGGAAAAGTAGAAATCCTACTAGAATTTGGAAAACTAGAGAATCTAGGAAACTAACAAATATATTAGGAAACTAATAAATTTAGGTCCTACGCATCCTGCATCATGATGACTAAGATGGGATTTGCTACATGATGGGAATCATGACTTGTGTTCAATATGTTACCTACTCATTTTTAGTAAATGGCTCTCCCTGTGGTTATCTTACTCCTTCTGGAGACGTAAGGCAATGTAGATGGGGCTTGGGAAGGTACGTGGCACCCAAGGGGTGTGGGTATAGTGGTTTGAGATTCTAACGGGCACTTTGAGGCAAGTCAAGCAATACACTATGATCATGTTTTTTTGGGCCTATAGGTGGAGGCAATGGCAACTAGGGCATGTGTAGTTTTAGCTGTGGAAAGTTGATTCAGTAACATAGTTTTTTGGAGTGATTCTCTCTAGATCGTCTCAGCTCTCATGAGTCCTTCTGTTGATAGGTCCTTTGTTGGAGGATAACAAGAGCTTGTTGTCACATATCACTAGGGAAGGTTTTACCCATGTCTACCTAACTGTGAATAGAGTGGCTCATCGTATTGGATGTTTTGCTATTAGTATTGGTGAAACAATTACTTGGTTTGAGGAGCCTCTAGATTTTCTCCTAGATATGTTGTATGAGGATTAGAACATGTAGTTTTTACAGGTATGTTCCTAGGGGAAGAGAGGTACTCTATTGGAGGCCAAGTTCCTTCTCATGCTTGCAGTTGAGAGAGTAGACTACATAGTTAGTCCAACAACCAATAAAGCCCATTTGGTGTAGAGATACTCGCCTAATCCTCTAGGATATAGCACGGTTTTTGTACTGCTTTCATTCCTCATCATTAATAAAATACTAGTCTTTGTGTAAAAACAAAAAAACAAAAAAACAAAAAAGAACAGTGGAATTTTAATTTTGAACTGAACTGAAATTCATAATAATTAAAACAACTGAAAATACATTGATTAAATTGAAATTCAGGTCAAACTATGGGACACAAATTTTTTTTTCCTATTGGATATGACAATTTTTAGTTATTATATTAATTAATTTTTCAATTATAAATCATTGATTTTTTTTTTTTTTTTTTTTTTTTTTTTTTTGGGGAAAGGTCTATTCAACTCATAAAAATAGTAGACGTAGGGTATGCTAGTTGACTAAGATAGTATGTATGCTGCCCTTGCATTCAAGTTCGGTCCTCATCTACATATATTAGGACGTGAATTCAATCAACCTCTCTGTATATTAGAATAATTTATAATATAGTTTTGTAAAAAGAAAAACCTATAAAAATATATATACGAAGACATTAAATGATGAATTGAACTTACCCAACTTTTAGATAAGGATCCATCTTAAAAAATGAAAAGAAAAACAGTAGACTTTTTTCTTTTGGTAAAGGGAATCTGGTCATGGACCCCTGATCTTTGAACACTTATTGTTAAAAAAACTCAACCCAGCTACGAGACATCACGTGACAAATATTTGTGAACTATTGACCTTTGACCAATTTGCTTTTGATGGCCCCAAATGAAATAGCCAAGAAATAACAAATATTTTAACTAGGAGACATGACATGGTAAATACTTGCGAACTGGTGATTTCCTTTGTCATTTAAGTTTTTGGTTTTTGGTAATTGAGGAGGAGATATTCAAAATTAGGATATATTATTATTATTTTTATTATTATAAAGTCATGTCTTAATCTATGGTTCTCACGATACTTTTAACTAAAACATCTTGAATGATATCATATGTAGAAGGATTGTAGCTCAAATGATTAAGAGCATTTATTTATTTACTCGAGGTCTTGTGTTCAATTTCCCCTCCTACAATACCGTTTGTGCTTTTAAAAAAAGGAAAAAAAACCAAACAAAACAAAACAGGTGTTCAACCTTACAAAACAGTTGGAACATTTACCTGACAGTCAAACCTATTTTACTTTTTACTGCGATTCCTCCCTCTCCATAAGTCAAAGCCCATTACAAGCCTTTCCCATAATTAAAAAACAAAAACCAAAATGCAATCAGAAAAATAATAATAATTTTAAAAAAAGTGAAATCTAATGTGACAGTGCTGTGATATATGAAGCCTTGCAAAAGCACCCTTATCCACTTGGCCCCACCTAGCCCCTACCTTGCACTAAGTATGTGCGCTCACTCTCACCGCGGAACAGGTACAACTCCTGACCACCACCTCATTTATGCCAACGTGTTATCAAAACCACTCTCCGATTTCCGTCACCCACATGTGAGGGTAGCTTTTAAAACGAGCCGCCGAGTTTTTCCAAATAGCAAATAAATGACTCATCATCATCATCCTTGACCCCCAACTAAAACTCAGTGCCTGAATCTGAAACGAATTTAGAAAGGTCTGGGCCGAGTTCGCAGTCCGGTCAAACTCGGTTACCAATTCTCTCGTCATACGCAATTTGTTTTTATTTTTTATTTATAAAAAAATAGATAATTACAAGATACTTTCACAATGTATCACAACTCCAACTAGGTAACAAATATATATATGGTTATATTTTAATTATGAGTACTTTTACAATAATATATATATATCTTTCTTTCTAATTATGAATGTGAGTCGAACTTGAAACTTTCTCCAATTAAGTAGAGTTAAATATCACTAAATCATTATTCTCGTTACAAATATATATATCTGTCTCACTTAACTCAATTAAAAAATTACTCAATATTATCAGGACATATAACTCAAAATGATTAAGAGCGTTTAATCTTGTATCTTATATGATTTTTCATTTCTCAATATCGCTTGTATGAAAACAAACAACCGCTCCATATTATTTTTTATTTATTAATTTTTTATATTTATAATTGTGACATTAAAAGAAAAAACCGAAAAGTAAGAAGGCGCTTTCTTTCATTCTCTAACACCGGAGCGGCACCCATTCCAGTCAAAACAGTTAAAAAAAAGAAAAACCAAAAAGATAAAAGCAACAGAGTTTCAAAACTCCAACACAGCAACAGTACATACTATAAAATAATCTTTTATTTTTGTTTGCTTCTTTTTCAAGGAGGGGTTTTGCACCAAAAAAAAACTCCCTGGCTTTTTCGGTTTCTGCAGCACCTGGTATTTGATTCAGAACTTTAGAGAGACACCGGACCTAGAGAGGGGAGAGACAGACACAGAGAGAGAAATCTATCTCTCGTATTTGGATTAAATTTGTATGTTTCTCCTAAATAGCGGTGCATATCTTTTAAACCTTTTCCTCTTAGAAAAAAAAATTTGGGATTTTTCCGGGAAAGTTTGGCCTGAACCAAACATCAGAATCCTACACAAGAGAAGAACCCACGTTTGGTTTTAGTCAGATATTGCTTATCGTCATTGATCTTTCTATTTCTGATCGTATATATTTATATCTTTCCCAAATCCTGTTGTTCTACGTAACCCATATTTTTTTGTCCTTGAAAGAATATAATTGTAACCTTGTGTAAAAAAAACTGATACAATTCAAGAAACGTTGGTGGGTCTAGAATCTAGATTCTCCGTCATCTCCTACCAAACTCTTACCAGAACCGACCGACTCTCCTTATCTGAAATTGTTTCCCTCAAATTCACAAAAACGTACCCATCAATTCTCGATCCAAAACCAACATAGGCAGTGTGAATTTCGAGTTTTGATTGCTGGGTATTGACTGAAATCTGATCTTTCGATCTCTGTTGTCTGCAATCCAATCCCGAACTTTGGGTTTTGGTTGCCATGGCGACCAAGACCGGGTCACTGAATTACTGGAGGAATTACTTTCGGACTGCGAATTCGGATATTTTCGATATAATCGACCATGCGATCATGGTGGCGGCTTCTGATTGCCCAAAGGAGTTCAAATTGCGGAGGGATCGAATAGCAGAGCGGTTGTTTTCATGTCGATTGACCCGGTGTTCGGGCTGCGACAAAATGGAGTTGGCGGTGCCTGGTGGCGATGGAGAAGATGACGATGATGATGGAGGGTGTAAAAGTGGGTTTGATAGAGATGGAGGTGAAGTTGAGGCTGGTGCTAGTAAAGAGAGCAAGGTCAATAGCAGTAGAGATGATCAGGGAGAGATGAACATGAACCAGCTTAGCAATTACAGCTATGGATTAGCTGAGGCTTTGACTGCTGAGATTGAAGAAGAGTCTGAAATTGTAGGGGAGGTTTTCAGGATCAAAGAGATCTTCAATAATTGTGAAGAAGAGGTATTTTAATTGCCTTTGATTTCCAATTAGCCCTTTGTGTTTGCTGCTTCAATTCTGAAGTGTTTGAGTGGTTGCTTGCTGTGCCCCTTTTTTTGGTTAATTCGTGTTCCATAGTTTATAAAATTTTAGATTGGTTTTGAAAGTTTTTTGAGAATTTGTGCTCTGTTTGGCTGCTGTGAACATGCTTTAGGTGTTCCGGTTTCTGATTCTAGTATTGATCAATGTTGTTGCAGTCTGATACAGTATTGTTTGAGTCTTTGAGGAAGCTTCAGTTGATGGCTCTGAATGTGGAGACTCTCAAGGTCTGATTCTAATTTGGTTTAGTTATTGAATTAGTGCAACATTACATCCCTCAATCAGCTTTAAATTTTTGCTACTGTATGGACTAATATGCGTTCTTCTTTTGCAGGCAACTGAAATTGGAAAGGCTGTTAACGGTCTCCGAAAGCATGGATCAAAGAAAATTCGTCATCTTGCTCGATCACTTATCGAGTATGAATTTATATACCCTCGATTAACAATGGATTATTTGTTCTTTGTGTTTATTGGGAGGAAATTGAGTAATACTATGTAGCGTTCTGCTACGGTACATGCATTTACCGCATCTTCTGAAATTTGTTACTTTGATACTTTGGTCTGCTTATTACTTACTATACCTTTGCCTGCTTCTTGCATTGTAGTATTCAGCAATTTTTCCTTTAAACTTTCTTTGTAGTCTTTTGGGTGCATTAATCCTGCGCTTATATTCAGTATGAAAGCACATAATATGCTCAAACCTCCTATGTACTTCAGCTTTTTAAGTCTGTTGACTAAAACCAGTATCAGATAACTTCCAGTTTCTGAGTGCTGCCGATTCATATTAATTATGCTTATGAACTCAGTTCTTATTGTTGTGCTTACTGATATCAACTGCACACTGGTCTTTTTTCTCCTTTGAATTTTGTCAACACATCGAATCCATTTTCTTCATCTGCACTGTTGACTCCTCTTAGCTCATTGTGTCTTTTTCGCGTTAAGTCTTTTAGTGGGCTAATAAGCCACATTCTTGATGATAATTCTTAGACAAGGGATAAATTATGACTCATTTCAGCTTTTTTGTATCCATGACTCATGTAGTAGATAAGTAAACATCATATTTCTATACCATGTAAGTTAGTGCTATATTGGAAGACGAGCAGTTCCATTTTAACATTGTATTTGTTATCTTAGATTTTGAAATTTAACATGATCTTTTGTATTGCAGTGGGTGGAAAGACATGGTAGATGAATGGGTCAATGCTACAACAGCTCTTGCCGGTATGAACTGCTGATTTTATGTATGTACCATTCTTTTCAGTTCTTCACTGGATCACCAATATTAATTCTATTATATTAACGTGTAGGCACAGAAGCTATGTCGGATTCTGTTGATCCATCTTTTGATGACGAGGAAGGACTACCATCTCCCCCTTTGGATGAAGGAGCTTTCTTTGCTACTCAAACGACATCAATGGAACTCTCACAGGTATCAGTCCTGTTCTCTGCTTTTTTCTTTTTCTTTTTTTCTTTTATTGAGGAAAGTAAGTTGATTCTCAATATGATGGCTGAAAACTGATTGGTTTCTGTTCTCTTTGATGTCCAATAACCACGCTATGTGAAGTTCTTTGACGGCATGGATGATTTTGGAAGTGAGTTGAATTTGCCAATGTTTATGTTTCTCTTGGTTAGCTTTGTGCTATTTGGTTCATTATTTGAATTCCCCACTTATTGGATTCATGATTATGAACTGGGAATGTTGTTTCAGATCCTCGAAACAACCGTGACAATGGAAGAAAACCATCAGTGGAGAAACAAAATATTGTAAAGCAGAAACAACAGCCTTCAAATGAGGCAAATGTGCTTCCCAAGGAAAGCAAGAATGAACAAATGAAGAAACAAGAAGTTGTAAAGCCAAATAAGCTCTCGAGCACTGACTCTGGGCCTGGCAGACCTCCCAAAGTAAATATGGAGCAAAAGGTCAATAATGAAACGAAGATCCAGCAAAAAACAGATAAGGTTGCCATTCAAAAGAGGCAACTCACTGGTCAGCAAGATGTAAGTGCCGTAACAGTTACTTGTAGTTTCATATATTTCAATCTTTGTCTGATTTCTGTTCTTGGTCTCCTAGAAATTCAAGTGTTCAGATGAAGTTGCAGTCCAAGTGAAACTTGAAGCCACAAAAAGGAAACTCCAAGAGCGTTATCAACAAGCTGAGAACGGTATATCTTGCTGAATATTTGGACTTTTGTCAACAATGCCACATGTTTGGGTGTTGAAAAATCAAACTCTGTTAATAGCAGATCCAGGTTTTTAATCTTTCTCATCTATGCCTGCATTCTCTTTTTGTTTGACAGCCAAGAGGCAACGGACGGTACAGGTTATGGAGTTGCAAGATCTCCCCAAGCAAGGGCTTGCCCGTAGGAATCCACATGGGAAGCCTGGAAACCACAATCGACATTGGGCGCATGGACGGAGATAAGTTACTTTGTAAAGGAGACTGGTTTCAGTGGCTTATGAAAGATTCTTCCATTTCAATTCAGTGGAAGAGGACAAACTCTCTGGCATACTGTGGGTCAAGAATAAGACATTCATTCACCATTCTTGCCGGGGAGGGGCTGTTTCAGATTTATTGACAAGCAAACTTTTGAAACTTACCCTAAATTAAATACATTGGGGTTTCTAGAGGTCCTTTAATTCAAATTGGGTGGCAGATTGTAGCTTATGCAGTCTCATTTGGATTTGGTTCTGAGCTGAATGTCTGTTAGGGAACCCTAGTTGTCGCTACCCGTTTAACCGACTACCCTCAACATTTTTTTTCTCCCAGAGTCAAGAAACTTCTACATCATGAGTTATATATACTTTGTAGACAGAAATAAAGTTCACTGTTACTTATACATTTAAGGTTAAACTTTCATGTCTCCTTACTCTTTAAGGCTGAAGTGATCCTTGTAAAGTTCGTCTCCGGTCAATTTTGTTAAGACGGCGGCGGGCACAGAGATGAGTGAAAAAACTTACCCCCTTCACTTTTATCATTTAGATGCCCGTATTTACGCGTAAGAGAATTAAATGTAGCAAAACCATAACTTTTAGTGACAATATCATTAGACCCATCTTTAGGTGTAACAATATCATTACACCTAAAAATGACAGATTTAAGGTTTTGCAATATCTGATAGCTGTCTTTTGCTTTTAGTGATATTTATCTTTTCAATGTCGGAAAAAATTTTAAATTCCAACGCATCATTAAAATGAAAGAAAATTATGCAATGAATGTGTCTTGTGGAATTTGAACGTGGAAAACGTTTGTACAATTCCATTTTTCCACCCGTTCTCTTTGAATTATTGTTGGTTGGTTGGGTGTCCGTTCACACCCAACTCTGCAAGAATTTTCCTTTTGGTCACGTGATTTTTATGTCTCCGTTGTAAATAATAAACTAATAGATGTGGGGGCCACGTGGAATTCATCCATAGATTGATTGAAGGGTTTGGGATTGGATTGTGTTTTTTAATCCAACCTCTATGCAAAACGTTTCTTTCAAATGGATGGGTTACCGGCCTGGTGGGTTCTGCTAAGAACAACGGAATCATATCACGTGATGTGTATTTTCCTTGCCATGCTAGATTGTAAAAAGGAACAATACAACCTTTTATAGTCTTTCTGTTTTGCGTTTTGACCAAAACGGTCTTTTAAATTTATGTTCGAGTTGTATTTTTGCCCTCCAAACTTTCTCTTTCGTGTCAAATTCGTCAATCTGTATCATTTTCCGTTAGTTTGAATCACGTACATGCTTCATCGAAAAACAAAAAAACAAAAAAAACAAAAAAAAACCCCTGAATCACTTAGATGCGACATGCTACAATTTGAAATACTCTATCAACATACCCGAATTCTATTTTGACCCTCCAACTCAAAAACTACAACCAACCCTAATACGTCCCCTTCAATTTGCCTCAATCCACAAGCTCTCCAAAACTCAATTCAACATTGCCCAACACCTCCTCAAATACACCACCACCAACACCAACGTGATTTTCCCCCTCGCTCAAGCACCCGTCCTCCTCAAGCACCTAGTTTCAGATGGGAAGGAGTTTGTCGGGAGTGACAGTGCCATGTTTTTTTTTATTTGCTGTTATCATTATTCAAGTTGAATTTGTCCAAACCAAGATAAATATTTGGTGAGCACAGATTATAATTTATTTCAAAATAAAAATGCAATCATTATAAATAAAAAAGACTCTTGCCCAGAGAAGTCAAGATAAGCAAAGAACAAATCAGCTTGGTTATTCTTGCATGTGCAGGGCCAGTGCAGTCTATCTTGACGACGTTTCATGCACATGTTGCTTGGTTTACGAAAACTTGTATAAACTAATAGCAACTAATAAAATATGCTGTCATTTATTTTACCTTAAATTAAGCATCTGAACGTTGAATTTCCAGACGCTCTTACAATGTTATCCTATGAGCCGAAGCAGACTCGTTAGTTTCTAAAGTTTTTTCTTTCTTTTCAGTAATGATATTCGAGAATTGACCACATTTAGCTGACGATATGATGTCAGTGTTGAGGTGTTACATGTCTTTTTTTTTCTTTTCTTCTTTTTGGGTTGACATCTCTAATCCATATCCAACTATTCCAACAAGATTGATGAATTTTCAAAGCTTGATCTTCTTTCCTCAACTTTGAATTTTCTCCAAGTTACAAAGGATGTGACCTCTAATTAATTTGGTAATGAGATATTAGTGGGCCGTCACACGTCAGATTATCTCACACCCTTAATATGAGATACTTTTCTCTCTTTGTTTTTCTACCGATGTATACGAGTAGATTATTATAATGATAAGTGATTAATATATTTATTTTGATAAATACGGCTTATAATAAAGTTTTTTTTATTGGAAATGAGCCATTTTATTTTATTTTTTTTAAAGCCAATACTAAAACACTCATGAAACTAGGTGCGAGAAATCCCGACACAACTTGATTAATGACTCGAAATCTATACAAAATTATATAGATCAATCCGTTGAAACACGATTAAGAAACGGATGAGTTTCAAATCAACCTACTAACCCATTTGTTAACCAACTTACAACCGGTCATTACCGGTTTACAACTCGTCTACCCATTGACAAAACAAACAATAAAAGGATCTTTCTTCTGTGGCCCAGAGGAGAAAAGGATGAAGACAAAAGCATATTTGGTAGATCGAAAGTAGGTCCCACGCGTGTTGTGTTCCACGTGTGCATAATCTGAAGCACACAAGAAGCACATGCGGTCTCCTGCTTTCTCTGTTGGCGCCTTTCGTCATTTATGCTGCCGACCTTTTCTTGGCTACGTGCGTGAAGAAGAAAGACCCTTTTGCTTTCTCATTCCAGTCGGTCTTCAACATTCCGCTGTGGACTTCAGAGCTTCTCTTTAAATAAAGCTACTTTTTGCAGTCACTTTGCGATACCATAAAATATTGTAACATTATTATTTATGGGTCCAGTCTCTAATAGTAGGAGCATCGATTGCGTGTGGACTAGTGGAGTTTTGATTCATTCCTACTCCTTAAAGCATCTCCACCCATAAAGGCTAAGTCTAAGGTAAGGGCAAGCAAGGGGCTGCCACTATTCACGTGAATAGTGTCAGCCTTTGCATTTGTGGTTCCACCTATGAGGGCAAAGTCTAGGACAATTACTATTTATTGTACTTTATTTCCTATTTTTTTATACTTTAAACCATTAATTTTGATAATCTTTTGTAATTAAATTTTCGGATAAGATTTTCACCCTCTAAAATTGTGCCACGTGTCCCATGTCAGATACGATTTTCAGATATTGAAAAAAAAATTATAATCTCAGATTTCAAATAAAATTTTCACCCTCTAAAATTGTGTCACGTGTCCAATGTCAGATAAGATTTTCAGATATTTTTAAAAAATTATAATTTTAGATTTCAGATAAAATTTTCACCCTCTACAATTGTGCCACGTGTCCCATGTCAGATAAGATTTTCAGATATTTTAAAAAAATTATAATCTCATATTTTAGATAAGATTTTCATCCTCTAAAATTGTGCCACGTGTCATCTCTATTTTCTAAATCCCTCTATAAAACTACACCATCAACTCATACCTCTCACACCATCTCTTATCTATTCCTTCATTTCTCAGATTTTAGAAAACACATTCTACTCTCAATGTCAAACTTGTCGAGGGTGTTGGAGAGGCAACAGAAACAAAGGGAAGAAATCCAGCGTAGATGTGCTCAAGAAGATCGGGACGCCGATGAAGAAGAGGAACAAATGCTTGCAGCAGCGGTGTGTATGATGGATCAATCAAGGCAACACCGTCGTCGTCGTGCCCCGAATGTGGACAGACGTAGGGAGTCTCGGTAAGAATCTCATGGAGGATTATTTTATCCCAAATTCGTTATATCCTGCTTCTAAGTTTCGAGAAAGATATAGAATGCAGCCACATTTGTTCCAAAAAATCATGCATGATATTTGTAATTACGACACATACTTCATTCAAAAGCATGATGCTGTTGGAGCTTTGGGTCTTATCCCGGAGCAAAAACTTACAGCTGCTTTGCGGATGCTTGCTTATGGGGCATCTGCAAAGCAGGTGGATGAGATTGCAAGGATGGGAAAATCTACTGTCCTAGAGTGCTTGGTGAGATTCTGTGATGCAGTGGAAAATTTGTACACGAGGGAGTACCTTCGCAAACCCACGCCAAGAGACCTACAACAGCTTCTACAAAAAGGCGAGGCTCGAGGTTTCCCAGGAATGATTGGAAGCATCGATTGCATGCACTGGCAGTGGAAGAACTGTCATACTGCTTGGCAAGGAGAGTACGGGAATCGGAAGGGCCAAAAAAGTATAATTTTGGAGGCCGTAGCTTCATTCGATTGTTGGGTTTGGCATGCCTTCTTCGGGGTTGCCGGATCTCAGAATGACCTCAATGTCCTTGGTCAATCCCCAGTGTTCGACGAGGTATTGCGAGGTCATTCCCCCCAGGTCACGTACAAAATCAACAATACCGTTTACTCTGGTGCGTACTACCTTGCCGACGGAATTTATCCTAGGTGGACGACATTCGTGAAAACAATTCCGAATCCCCAATCCGAGAAGGAAAGAAACTTTGCTTCCTTTCAAGAAGGTTACAGGAAAGACGTGGAGAGGTGTTTCGGTATCTTTCAAGCTCGTTGGGCAATTATTAGAGGTGCTGCTCGAATGCTAGATGAGGAGGTGCTGCGGAGTATTATGATGACTTGCATCATCCTCCACAACATGATTGTGGAGGATGAGTATGACTATGATGCTCAAGAGGTGTTTGAACCCGATCCAATGAACACATCGTTGACAAGAATATATGAAAGGCCGATTGCATAATCAATGAACACATAGTTGATTATGCAAGAAAATATAGACAAATTAAAGGTGCACCAAGAAAAAAAAAATTATGCAAGAAAAACAAATAGAATATGCAATAAAAAAAAAGTGACATTGAATTGATTAAAATGGCAATTATAAATATTTTACCTCATCGGTCAAATTTTGACCGCTTTGAATGTTCGCCTTTGCTTTTGTCAAGGCATTTCTCCATTTCCCTAACTCTTTATTCAGAAGTTTCCATCTACTAAACAAGGCCATTTCGGTCCGAATAGAACCCGATCTTTGACAAAATTCTCCATGAATTTTGCTCCACATGTGATGAAACTTCATCTCATTGCCCGTGATAGGGTCATGACTAATGTTCACCCAAGATTGACACAACACAATATCTTCATTCGTTGACCACGAGCCTCCGACTTCAATAGAAGATGCCATTCGTTTTTTTATACAAATGGAAAGTAGTAGAAAAATGTGAGTGGAGAGTAAAAAATATTGGAAGGAGAAGAGTTTGTATGGAGAATTGGTGTGGAAGTGAAAAATGTGAGTGGAGATAAAAAAATATTGGAAGGAGAAAAGTTTGTATGAAGAATTGGTGTGGAAAGTGAATAATGTGAGTGAAGAGTAAAAAATATTGGATGGAGAAGAAATTGTATGAAGATTTAGTGTGGAAAGTAAATAAAATGGTTAGGTATTTATAGAGAAAAAAATACAGAATTTTTGGGTATTTTTTTAAAAAAAATTCAAAAATTTTTCGATTTTTTTAGCCAAAAAAACGAGGACTGTCGGATTTCTGGAAAAAAGCCATCCGAGAGTCCCTGTCGTGCCACGTGGCAAACGCCCGTTGGAGGCTGTCAGGTGGTGACGTTAGCGCTGGCGTCACCAAACTCGAGCTTCAGCCCGGGCAAGACTTGCCCTTGGGCTTCCTCGGGCTCGTGGGACCCACCATGAAACCGGGCTACGGGTCCTGCGCTGGAGCCATCTCGGGCTCGCCCTGGCAGCCTTTCACCCAGTTTGGGTTGGGCGCTGGAGATGCTCTTAGAGATACGCATGAATTTCTCTCCAATTACTTTTTCAATTGTTGGTTTTTTTTCTTTTCTTTTGTCAATCATTCAAACCCCAAAAAGGAGATAGAGAAACATCGAATACATGAGCCGAAAAGGTCAAGAAACAAGCACAGGGAAGATTAAATTAAAACCAGTACAATCGAGCACAATAAATCATTCCCATCATAAAATAAAAACAAAATAAAAAAAAACAAAGTCACCTTCGCCCCTAGGGGAACGAGGACCGCATCATAATGAAAGTTGATAAATGCTTTTAACCAATTCCCTTTTGCAATACCAACAATTGAAAGTTGTCCGAGACTTTTGTGGTAACAATAAAATATATTATATATTGGCTCCTTGGTATATATTCGTCCCCAATTTCTGCAAAATGGTGTTATTTGTTGCCGGAAGCATTTTGAACACTTGTAAATTGAAGATAGGATCATGCTGGACCACCTTTGGTTTCTTGCATTATATTACCCCTTTTGAATCACAAGATAAGATTCGCGCCACACAACAGACATAATATCGCAGGGGGTCCGCTGTGACAGTTTAAATTGTTCGTTTTGAGTCTAGTCCGCACGAATATATTCAACGCATTTTAAATGCGTCTTATTAAGGGAGATGATATATGTTTCACTGTCGTTCTAAATTGGCATGGCTAACCGTAATGGCTCATTAACACAAAGAGAGGACTAGATCCTGGCCTATGCATTGTTCATTTTAAGGTCCAAACTGTAGACAGAACCAACCATATGCGTAATGATTAGGTCAAATCGAACCGATATGGCCTAAATCGAACAATTAGGTTTACGAAGATTCTCATTTTCGGTTGGTTCAATGTTGTTTTTATTGTCGACACATTTTCTAATTCTTTTTTATTGTTTCTGGGCCCTAAATTAATAGGCCAAATTGCCTATGTTTTGTTCTCAACTTCATCTGAATGAACCTAATACCAAGCTAATAGCATTTTAGGTGGTAATTAAAGTCGTTCAATCCTATAAATTCATGTTGTTATTTTGTGAAGAGAACAAGGTACTATGGATGTCGTTGACAATCCGAAAGTTATTCAAAGAAAGGCGTGAAAATTCTTGTCATGTCTGTTCTCTACATGTAGGTAAGCATGTTCCCCTCCTCAATTTGCTGCGTGTTTAGAGTAAAATTTTATTGTACGTTTTTCCCTCCTTTCTTTTCGGGTCATAGTCTTTGTTTCGTTTTCTTTTCATGGTTTTTTTGTTTTTTTGTTTTTTTGGATCTATAAGTTGAAAATTGTATCTTGGCTGAGTTTAATAATAGTTTTGTGCCTTGCCTGAACTGAAGCAAGCAGTGCCCCAGCCCATCGCAAAGAATATATTTCTTACTTAACACCTAAGATTTCTTCTCTTTGTTCACAACAATAGGATGTCACATCATATATATATACAGAGAGCTTCCATTGAGAGATCCCTCAAATAAGCTTATTTGAGGGACACTCCTTGTAGGGCCCACTCCGGATTGTATTTCACTAATTCAAACCGTCTATTTTGTAGATACTCATTGAAAGATCATCTCTACAAAAAAATCACTTGAATTTGATATCATTTGACCATTCAATTGAGTTATTGAAATTTTAGCACTTTCTTGAAGCACCATGTTCATTGATTTTGTAGGACACAATTGAATGTCGAAACAGTTTCCGATTTGTCTAATTTTTTGTAAGGATAATCTATAAATGAAGACCTAAAAAATTTGGATCATTGGAAAAAAAATTGTAAGGTACCCTAAAAGGTGTCCCTTAAATAAAATTATTTGAGGGATCCCTCAATAGAATGGGATATATATATACTGACGGCTAGACAACTCGATGACTAGTGAGTAAAGGAAACTTGACAAAAAACCTTCAAACTAACAACTCTTCTAGGGACTTTAGGCTCTGATACTAGGTACTGGCCCTACCTCTGAGCAAATTTTTAATCGATTTTTTGCTTTAATTTATGCGCAAAATTTAGTGTAGAGACGTAAAGTATAAACAAGATAATTATCAGAAATTCAAACATGCAAAGCCAAAACCAAGGATAAGAATATAATGAAACTAAAAACGATATAAACGATAACATTAATATTTAGCAAACTGGTACTGGCCCGGCCTCTGAGCAAATTTTTAATCGATTTTTTGCTTTAATTTATGCGCGGAAGGTAGTGTAGAGACGTAGAGTATAAACAAGATAATTATTAGAAATTCAAACATGCAAAGCCAAAACCAGGGATAAAAATATAATGAAACTAAAAACAATATAAACGGTAACATTAATATTTAGCAAACTTACATGAAGGCAGAAGAGTAGTAGTGCTTAACAAAAGCTTCGCAGAAGCAGCACTTGGAATAAAAAAACACTCAGACACTCAAGCACTCAAAACACTCAAAAGTACAAAGTTTAATTCTGGAGGCAATTATTTTTTTCGGTATCGTGCAACTGAGCAAAGGTCCTCCTTTTAAAGCCTCGGGGTGGTTGTCGTGTCAAATAAAGACAAGAAATCACAAAGCAGCCTACAGTAGAGCGGCATCTTCACTTTGAGAATCTTCGCTGAATTTTCCCGCAAACAGCCAAAAAGGAAAAGGCACACTTTTACAAAAGAGAAATCTGAGTTAAAGCAGGAGAATCTTGCTTTAACCGGATAAAGAAAAGTAAAACTACAGGAAAGCATAAAATTACAATTTTACAAGTTGTCTTCTATCAGACAAAATATTACTGAGGCCCACCATAAAGCTCTGGATGGAAATTCTCTAGCATGTCTTCATTAGCAAAGGGGTCCACCTCATCTTCAGGCTGGGCGGTAGAGATGCTGATGCCATAGATTTGTCGTCCAAATCAAGAATCTCGAGGACTTTCTTTTTCAAGTCTTCTTTAGAGGATGATGATCCTAGCTGGTCTATCAACAGTTGTAGCCTTTGGGAAACACTTAAATTAGAAGAAGTGACCAAAAGCTGAGCAGCAGCAGAATCGGGAGATGGGATAAGAGCTGGGATGATCTTGGTGGGAGCCAGGTGATCCCTAGTGAATTTATCCCACCATCTGATTAAGATACTTCGGACTAGATTAGGAATATAAGTCCATTCTTCATCAACATCTTCCGAAATAACATATTCCCATTTTAATATCCATGGTCGTTCATACATTATCATGAACCACATGAATAAGGTCCTTTGATCAGGATGATTTTTATTCCATTTACAAAATTTCATTTGAAATGATTCCTTAATTTCAGGAGGAAGGTATTCCATAGTAGGACCGCAAATCAAAAAAAAGCTCTTGAACCAATTAGGGAGTTCTTTCAGAGCTCTAAGCTTAAACTGGATAAACCAAGTACGGGAATAACTCTGATTTTGGAAACATAACACATATTCCCATGCCTTTTTATAATCCCAAAAATTATAAGAATATGGCCTAATTTCAAGATGAATAAATCTTTTGGCCCTTTTAGGGCTAGGCCTCATTCTTCTAAGGAAATGACATTTAAAATTTGAATTTTAGAAAATGCTATGGTGTTAGCATTTTCACCCCTATGACGATGGACGATGTTAACAGACTTAGTTTCAAGTAGAAGAGTTTTATAGAAAATTCGAGGCTTATTCAAGGGAGGAAGATTATCCCTTAAATATTTTTCAGCCAGAAAATTAGGGTGTTTATCTAAATCATTCATTTCAATGATTGCCACTGGCATATTCATGTATTCACGAAAAGGATTTTCAGCGATCTGCTTCTCCTTACCCTTATTGTATGGAGAAGAAGACATCAGAGACTTTGAATAATTTGGGGATGACTTAATAAGAGCTGAGGAGCTCTTACTTGGGGTCATTTGTCCTAAACTTCTTATTCTCACCCTGTAAAAATTCTCGAGTTCAAAAGTCCGGGAGTGCATTAGTCTCACCTTTTATAAATTCAATATCAAAATCAAAAGCAGAAAGAATTCCTTGGCATCTTGCAAAAATTTGTTTAGATGCTAGATTTTTAACATCCTTAAACAAAATTTCTTTGGCAGCTTTGCAAACTACTCTTATCAAAAATTTCTTATTTAAAAGATCACTTTCAAATTTGGAGACAGCATGGACAATGGCTAGCATTTCTTTCTTAAAAGTAGAATAGTTCTTTTGAGCTGGTTTCTAGACTCCATAGGTGAACCTGACCAATTGTTCTGAGTTAAACAAAAGGTAGAACGTTCCATTCGTAATGTCCAAAGGGGACATTAAAAGCTGTTTTATATCTGTCCTTTTCGGCGATATGGATTTACCAATATCCTGATTTCATGTCGAATTTTGAAAAGATGACTGCCTTATTTAGTCTATCCAAAAGATCCTTCTTATTAGGTATCGGATATCTAACCCATTTAAAGGCTTTATTTAGACGTTTGTAATTTATCATCAATCTTGGTACTCCTCTCTCTAATTCAGCTACGTTTTCTACATAAAAAATGGAATAGCTCCAAGGAGATGAGCTTACTTCTTATTTAATAAATCTTGTATTTCAAATTTACAAATTTCCATTAGCCTAGCATTCATTTGAATTGGCCCTAGCTTTAGTTGGGATTTTCTTCTCATCAAAATCAGACTCATAGGGCAATTCAATTATGTGCCTTTTTCTATTCCAGAAGGCATTGGGTATTTCAGCACAAACTTGACTTTCGAACATCTTTTGGATTTCATCATTTTTTTTTATCTTGCTATTTTGCAGCTGCTCTTCTATTCTCTTGTGCTGCATTTCTTCTTTCAAATTATATAAATAGCTTTCTTTCCTTTTTATTTTTTCTTGAATTTCATTAATATACTTATGCTTGGGTGGTTGAGAAAACCTAAAGATTATAGGTTGACCTTCTACCTCAGTTCTAATTCCCTCTTCAGAAACAGAAAAAGGATAAAGCATATTAATGAATGGTATTCCTAATATAAGAGACTGGTTTAAACCTTTCACCATAACAAAAGGAGTTTCAAAACAAATACCCTGATTGAGCACAGCAGCGTTAGACAA